AATTTCCCTCTCCCATAGAGGAAGAATTAAAATAACAAAGTATAAGGCAAAAAACATATACACTAAACATTCTCAGAAACCGACAGAACCGCGTTTTTGCCGTTCCCTTCCCCACGCTGTTTATTACGAGACCGATTTGATGTCGACGTTTTGACTATCCGACTACGGGCCACTGCATAGCTGAAGTTACTTAAAACTACAAAAACACACAATTTTCTGCCGCCATCACTTCTGTTCATCCCCCACTCTTATCTACCTATATCTCACATAACTTGAATTGTTCTATTACTTGAGCGATTAAATCAATGAGGATAATCCAAAGACACCTATGCTACCGAATAACAACCACAGCTGCAATGAGAGCAGACGTAAAAAGTATCACCTGGCAAAACCCATTGATCTTCGTTGCAACAGACATCAGCCACCATCATGGCAGAGACGTTCCGGCGACAATGACGAAAACTCCGACTCAAGTGACGAAACGCGGACCGACTCGTTCTAGCGTCGTTCTGCGCTTTGAACGCACCGATTTATTTAACGGCGTCCGATCACCTACCATGACAACTGAGTTGACTACAGAATAACGTTAAACACCTGTCAGATAAATGCTACAGTAGCAGCTCACTAGAAACATGGACGATGTATGGATTTGAACAGTATGGCGGTTAAAATTACCATCAATCTCCTTTGTCATCCGTTAGCTAACGGACCCATATGGTTACACCCAAAACTTTGTAGAGCTGCCATTGTGAAGAGTGGGTAGATTGACATGCTGTGATAAACTGAAAGGGGACCTTCATGGCGAAGATACGGGCGTCAAATACCAGGCGAACAGTGGTGATGCATAGCAATAACAAGTACCAGTTAAAGGAACGGATTCTACTAGAAAAATTTGAGATAATTCCTCTTATGCAGCTTTTAATACGAAGGAATAAATAAACTAGACAAAAAAAAAAACCTGTCATGTCTAAGTGACAAAGCTCTGCTCGTCAACTGTAGCTTGACATTGTCAGTTAACAAAGTTACTGACTTATTCAGTGATTATGGAATTAGAGGCATCACCACAAGCTATAGATGCAATAGCAATGGTTACTGCTGCGATTAATGATGGCGTATATTGTTAACGGAAAATTTGTCAATCCCAACAAATCCATGGTAGGCACTCCTCTCTCATATTTATGACTGACTACGACCCGATTGCATGGTTGGAGCTGATGAATTACCGAAAAATTTGAGAATGAAAAAAAAAAATGATCAAAACCAGAAAAGATGTTACAATGAGAGAAAAAAATACGGGACTTACTTAGTACAAAAACCCTTTGGTGCAATAACACTATAAACCCTATAATTTTTGCCTTTGCAGTGTCATAGTGGATGTTAAAGTCGTTATGACATAGCAGACATGTTTCATAAAACTGTTCGTATTATAGGCGTGTACACGTCGACAGTTGAAAACAAGTAAAAACGAGCTCGTTCTCATTCGTTATTATGTTTTGCCACAAATAGGCTTGCGTGACACCGGGGTCCATTCAGTCAGTCATTGGCGCGTGTGATAACGATGAAATCAAAGGGAAAAAAAACACGCAAAAACACAAAAGGTGAATAAAAATAACAGAGCGAAATCCATTAGCGTTACATCAAAGTAGAAAAAGAACCAGATGGGGTTCGCAACACGATGGTCAGGCAGTTACCGATGTTGCCAGTGATATTCTACCTGTTAGCATTTTTATAAGGAAAAGGGGGTGTTGCACTAGTTAATGGAATAAAAAAAAGTTCGTAAAAGAAGCCAGTCAAAGAAACAGAACAGAAACATCTGCACCAACAAAAAAAACTACAGAAGAAGACGATGACGAAGAAGACGATGAAGATCGCACACATTAAGGGACGCATTCAGAGAAAGCACCCGCGGATCCGTTCAACGCAACGCTGGACAATGGTGAAACGGCATACGCGCGCAGCTTCAAAACGGTTGGTGTAACTAGACTATTTTGAATGCTGCTATAAACAATTGCCTTGGATCGTAGTGTTAGCTATATAATTTCGTTAATAGCGGCCGCAGTGTTCGGTCAGTGTCCTTATTTATAGGACTTGGCCGCTAAGGGGCGAAAACGTTGAAAGCACTGTGCGAGACATACTGTATAATACATCTTAATAAGTCAACAGGGGCTTATCGCTACTTGGCTGTGTTTGTTGCAAAACTTCGAACGCTTAATGATTTCGCCTTCCTAAAAAAACGGCATTCAACAATATGTAGATAACGTATAGTGATCAGAGACATCATCGTGTTGCTATTACTGTCACTATTATAGGTAAAACAGGTTGTCTCACTTCATTGGATTCATATGAGTAAATAGAGACAGCATAATTAACGCACCATTGCCGTAATACATATGGTAAAAGAAGCAACGAATATAAAATATCATATTATATAGTATTATGCATAAAATAATAGAAAAGCACTAACATGATCTCTGAAGCGAGCTAACTGAACGAGCTAGCTTCTGAACTTACGCCACCTCCTTAGAGGATTCCCTAGTTAAGAGGGCAGCATGTTACTGCCACATTATCACGGAAACTCGATTCTTTAGCGTTCGATTTGAGTCATAAACTTGTTTTTTTTTTTGTTCCTTTAGTGCGTGTTCGAACAATCTGACAATGATGTGGCAACGTGAGCTCCACTAAACGGGCGAATTCATTGCATGTTAATATTAATCTGAGAAACTTGATTGTTCAATGTGTCCTCGTCTTGTTGTGATCAGGCTCCCTGGAAAAATCGAAAAGACTGTTTATAACTGTTATGTCTTCGCTGTCGAAATTTAATATGAGCTCTGATCTAAACAACGGTCTATTTTTGTTTTACCGCACCGTTGCCAGTTTGTCTATTGGAGTATGTGAGCAGCTAAAGACATGGTTTCAAACAGCCCAATAACCCATTGAAACGGAATACTTTGTTTACTTATTTTATCGTTTATCGACAAGTAATAACTGTATCTAAATAGAGCGGACAACCCGCACGAAGAAGATAACTCCTTGTAACCCGCAAAATAGAAGCGGAACTACATTTTTGGCATTGGATCCTTGACCAAACTTCCAAGAGACGTAGACATTCCCCCTAAATTGACTCAAATCCATAAATTAGTATTCCGAATTTGACGTCCGATGCTAGTCATTTACTTAATAGTAGCTCTTTCAGACCGCTGGTGTCCTACTCCACCTCGAAACGCTCCGGACCTAGACCCCACCTCATTCAGTGTTAGAGGCAATTACGTGGCTAATAGCCTATTGCAGGTCAATCGATGGTTATTTAGGAACGCGAACGTTCCTGAAACACCTGTCAAAAATCGACAGGAATCCGGCAAAAATTATCAACTCAATGACCCTCTAATGCATACTTTAAGTGTCGTTCCCGCTCCGAACGATGTTTCCCAAGCTAGTAAACATAAAGGCTGGGATTACTACTGTTAATAATAATACCAACAACCAATTCCGAGTCGACATCGGACATTTCTGAGTGCAGAAAAAACTCAAGAAGTAGTAACAGTTTGGGCGATTACCATTCCTTGAAGACCCATCTGCTCGTGAAGGTATAGTGTGGCCTGATAAGGCAGTGGCTTGCTTGACTACCGTTACATTAGTTTGTTTCGATTGCAGCATTCGATTATATCAAGGGCGCGCAATTTTTAGCCGGTAACATGAATAATCGGATATAAATAGCACGTCTAGTATTATGACAGCATCAGCTGAGCGGCTAAAAGGTATAGTTTAACTTAGAATGGTTTGCCCATGCACACAAACTTATAAAACCTGCGACGATGAAAGGGAAGTGAAAAACTTCAATTTCTACGGACATCATTTCATCATCTCCCGCCTTTCGTTAAAACCTCTGGTAACTGTAAAGGCCAACGTAATTGTTCCATGGTAAGGCCATAGATACCTTGATATGACTGTTCTATCTCGTCAAACGATACAAGGCTAATCATCCGTGAAAAGCAGATACCTAAGCTAATCCTACAAAGGTATACAAGTAAATAAAAGACTCTAATCAACCACAGCATAGTAACGTGCTGATATTATCCGAGGTAAAGTCCGCCTATTTCTCAATTGCACACGTTCTGGACTGATTTGCTCTACCTTCCAGTGATCTAATGAACAGAGGATTTAAATACAAAATAATGATAAGTGAAGCTGATATAGCCTTCCGTAGTGTTCAAGAATGTAGTATAGAAAAATATGCAGATTAGTTGACTGATTCAATGTATGTGTATAAAAACGACTGTGTTAATGAGAAGCCAACAAAAAAAGACGATTGTGTAAAGATAATTACTAATAGTAAAAACATTCAACTATATATATATATATATATATATATATATATATATATATATATGGCTTACGGTATATGCATCGTCGCGGTGCACTTCAACTATGACAAATAATCGGACCATCAACACGAATGTTGCGTTACAACTATACAGTTGTAACTAAGAGCCGGTATACACGCTCGTCCAGAACGGTCTTAACCGAAATAACAGAATCTATCTAAAATATGTGCTTGCTATTATCTAACTAAAAGGCGTGTACAAACATTCAAAAATGACAATCGCGGTATTGAAAGATTCGGTGCAATTTTAGTAGTTGAAAGGTAAAAGCTGTACGGAGCACATGTAAAGCCTTGCCCAACCTCATCGTCGTTCTTCCAGACACCTCAGTTATATTGTTCATCAGATTTAGATATATATAAAGAGGTTATGATTTTAATCATTGGCAAGACAATAGCTTCTAGATTTATCATTCCTGGAAGCCCAGTATGCATGAACTGGTATATTTTTGAGTAATATCATATGAGCTCAATAGTACAATGGTAAATTAAAATAGCCGCATTTCTGGTCTTTTATTTAGTTACTGAATTACATTATTAGCATCTCACGTTATACGCATCATCGGTTAAATGCGCGATACTTCGAAAACTTCTGATTCTTAAATCCACCACAAAGACCCACCTCATGCTTTTGCCATGTTGACTCAGAGTTAGTGTCGTGCACTGCCTGTATATCGACTTCTTCATACAACTATATCGGAGCATGACATAAACAAGTCAAGCAATATTCATCTTACTACAAGCCATTAGTTCCTATTGAGAAAAGGCAACGTAGCTAAATTAAATGAAAAAAAGTAATACCTTTATACATCACTAATAACGAATTGTAAAGTGTTTGTAAAACACTTATCATACACCGTAAGCCAAATTCGAAATCAGGTCTTAGGTACGCGTCCGAATATCGTCTACAGTAGCACTATTTCGAAAAAGATAACTCGTACACATGGCGAGTGATGTATTCACGAATGTGTGTATTGAAAAGCTATTTAGCACAGAACAGCACAGACGCCTAACGCAGAAGCACGATACATGTAAGCAAAATAATGCCAAATACCTTCAGCAGCACTAAATGTAAAAACGCTCAATGTCATCATTATCATGAGTATTACATTTGTAATAGGATTAATTTATAAAAAAAAAAAAAAAAAAAAAGAAAAAAAAACACGACATGTGCCTTTAGTCGAATAAAAGATTTGTCTTGTAACAAACAGAAGTCCCGATTCGAACGAATGATCATCCCGTCTTCTTCAAGCAGAATATACCAAAAAAACGTACCTTTATCAGAAAAACGTGCCCTGTTTTTATTCAGAACTGTTATAAGTGGACAATATATGGAGATCGTTGTATGTGTAAAGTGAGTTATTGCTGAATGCTCTTTCGTTAATTGAAAGTTGTTACTTCAATAGGCCTTTTTTATGATTTAGCGGACCTACCAGTGTGTCATTCTTGAATATACCATCAGTTATGTTAATGCAGTCAGTCAATAATAGCAATAGTTTCGCCATACGTATGTGAGCGTTTTAAAATATGTAAAAATCTCTCTACTGTATGTAATATTGGTAGTTTTCATCCTGAATTTATTTACTAAATCACCCACAGTCGCATCTATCTCCTGATACCATATCCGCATCAACTATATTATGATTACGATAATTCATTAATCTTACTTTAATTTGTAACAAAATCAACTACCTCCTGTCGCTCGATTCAGTGTTCTACTTAGAGCACAAGACGCGCTATCGACAGAAATGCATGTACAAAAACACGCTACTTAAAAAACAAAAAGCTATATACCATATATCTGCAGTTGATCATTGCTCGTTGTTGTAAAAGTTGTTCGACCAGAGAAAAATTAGAGGGAGGTCACATTTACATGGAAGCCACTGCCACTCCCTGAAAATTCAGAATGATTTGAGCGATTTTACAAGTTATATGTGGATTGCATCTGCTATTTCGTCTGCTACTGTGTTCGACATTAGATACCTTTCTTTCTTCCCTAATTGCAGCCGTTCCTTTATCTATTGTTAAATATATAGCCTGTGTGAGCCAAAAGTCTTCGAACAATTTGAAAAGGGTGCTCTTGTTACACTTACGTTGGGCAGATAAGTTCGCTTTTTATTGCAATAATTCGCGTATCTCCTGCTGCTTTAATAGATATGAACTAAACACTCTTCAACTGCCCAGAGACTTTTGGACATAATATATATGTATATATCTATCGTCAATAGTGATTTAGACGGTTGTAAATCTATCCGCGCTCTGTTCTGGATAACTGAGGCATTGGGCACAGTAAAAGCGAGAGAGGACGTGATCACTTGCCTAAAATGTAAGCTCTCATTCTTCTCAACAACGTCATCAAACACTTTCATGGCGGTGATAATGATGATTTCCGTAGACGGTTGCTGGTTTATCGATAATTCTGTCGAACGTTTAAGCTATACTGTGAAGTTACCCGCGATGTTGGTCAGCGGAACTGCCGACAACGACGACGACGACGACGACTGCGCAGCGCTAGGCGGAGTCAATTGCTTGCAAGTCTATAACATTTACTGCAATCGCTAACAACGTTGAACATATTTAAGATCTCGTAGCAGCGGAGCAACGGCACCTACTACAATGCAGAAACGCTACAGAAGTCATCACACAAATGCGAAAACTTTGGTCGAACCTTAGCTCGTTCGACCAAAGCTGACAACAGCGAAACAAAAGTCAGCGTCACCGAATAGTCAATGGGACCAAGACCACGTTTCTAGGGCCAGCAGGCGTCTCGGACAATATATATAGACATATATATATA